CCCCTTTTTCATCTGTAACTTTTGTTCAGCCTGTTCTTAAAAGCCAAGCCCCACAGAGGCTCAAAAAAGTTCCACTCCATTTACTGGACTTCTAAATAGAAGGCATTTAGCCGAGCCAAGTGATTATTAGGCTTTCTGTTGCATTTAAGCGCTCCCTTCACGTATAACTGGCTGTCTACCGATCTCTCTCTGCTTTAGCCCATACTCATCTTTTATTATTGTCTCTTTATGAATGTTTCTCTTCTTTTTTCCTTCTTATTTTTGTTTTTTTAGGGAAGTATCAGGTTAATGATACATATTATGTGCAGGGGCTGGGGGGGGGACAACTTTTAAGACAATCCTTTCCTTTGGGAAATATAACACTACACAGAAAATGTAGCTCTAGTAAGGCTTGTAAAAGAGATTGGGGCATACAGTATAATGTAGCATAAAATGGAGTATGTGACTTTAAAGAAACTAATCTATTTTAGGCTAATGTTTTAAATTTTGCATTTGCCCCTTTTCTTTTCCCCCGGGTGAAATAAAATTGTGTTTCAAATCCATCACAAAGCTCCAGGGGATTTTAGAGGGGAAGTGAGGCAGGCCAGAGTTAAATTTTTCTACTGTACTTGCAGCCCAAACCTTTTACCTCTGCTTACCAGTAGGTGAACCAGAAAGCAAAACTGACAGTAAGTGCAATAGAAACTGCCTAACTGGTTTCCCATGTTTAATTTTGAGATGCCTTTTTTTTTTTTTCATTCTTTCCATCCTGAATAAGCACGAAGTTTTGGTGCCTGCTTGCTACTGAAATCAATAAAAATGTAGCTTTTTTTTTTTTTTTCTTCCCCAGCTCCTTTTTCATATTAACCCTTGGCAATGTCGTTCTAGGTGCCAAGTTGACATTACTGCCCTGCCGATGAAGCAGACCAATTGCTTAGAGCTGCCTCTGGAAAAACATCCGGGGTCCCTGCTGATGTTGATTGCTGTTGCCCCGTGTACAGGAGTGTCTATCTCTGATCTGTGCGTCTGCCCTTTGGGAGACCCCAGTGAAAGGCAACAGATTTCACAGCGCTATGTGAGTTTGCTTTTTTATTTTTTCTCCTTTAGTTATGAAAGTAGTCAAAATTGCAGGAAAAAAAAAAAAAAGTCTGGTCATAATAACATGTCTCCTACCAGAGAAAACTATTACATGGAATAGTTATTATGTTTAGAATGACAAGGAGATTGGCAGGGCAGATGGACCCAAGCAATTTGGCTGCTTTTTATTTGTTGAGTTTTAAACTAATATGTTTCTTTGCAAACTTGAATTGTGTTAAGAGATTATCATGGGGAATGAGACACACTGAATATCATGGAGAGATCATTGTATCCTTAGCTTGCTTTCCTCCTTTGGGGAGGCTATGTTCTGGGCTTTCCACTGTTGGGAGATAAAGCCATATGATGGTTTCCATGCCTCAATCCTCAAAAGCTGGGCAAGAAGGAATAAGCATCTATCTCACTAAAATGGGGTGTGAGACTGAGACACGAGGAATTTGAGCACCACAAGTCAAAGATACTTTTGAGGACAGATTCCTCACTCCCCTTTGAGTGTGCTGTCTTTCTGACCCATGATGCTTCTCCAGGTCTATCTATGTACCCATTTTCTGTTTTAATTGGCAAATAATACTTGCATAAACATGCAGGGCTCCTTTCAGTCTCCATCATAAAGTTAACGTGTAACTTATGTGAATGGAGAATTTCCTTAGGAGCGGGTAGAGTGTGAAGTTGTGAACCTCAGGGTCATGATGCAGCGAGTCTGGGACGGCGGAGATGTATTTATGGGTGTTTCAGCTGCTGAACTGAAACACCACAGAAATAGCAATGGATATAAAAATGTAAGTCGTTTAGTAGTTCAATATGTTCTGTTTCTTACTGAATTACAAACAAAATATATCTTTATGCTCTCCTCCTTGCAGTGTATAAAGAATTCCTTTCAAGACATAAAGGACATTGGCTTCTTACAAGTCAAAGTTTTAAAGGCGGTGGACCTATTGGCAGCAGATTTTGCAGGTATTTTATTTCCATTTTCCAGCATATGATGCTATAATATATTGTGAGTGCCATACTATATTGTGATTGCTACTTAGACTTTGTTCAGTACTGTCAGTTGATGAAAGAAAAGTAAATCTCATCATTTCTCCAGTGGTGAAACCTGCCTCAGGGAACTGAGACACCAAATGGTTTTGACTCCCAAAAGTATGTGGGGAGGTCCAGTGGATGGACGTCTGGTTTTCCCTTTAGATCTGAGCAGTGTGACCAATAACTTAGCACTTAGCATGGTGTGCTGTTGTATTTTCCAGCAGGTATATGTAAAATATATGTAAATGTAAAAATAAAATGATGGTGAAAAGCAGCCTCTCCATCTTTTCTTGGGTACAGGTTTGGGTGACGCTGCAGGCTGTCACCTGAAAAAGAAAGCCTGCCAGCAATGGGGAAGTGAGTGCGATGGTTTCTTTTTTGAAGCTTCAGTTTGGGATGATCTTTTTGGCTCTCTAACTCCAAGAAAAGGATGGATTTTCTACTGAGCTGTACCTCAAATTGTGCTTGGTCCTGACAGCAATGGATGCTAACACCTTTTAAAATATGACTTTATATTGTTTCTTGAGGGAAGGTCTAGATATTTGATACTTCCCTGTAGTTACTGTCTGGATATTATTATTTTAATTACCATCTTCTCCAGAATTTTGGAGACCTTTTAATTCCTCTCTGTATCTTGCAGCAGCTCGTAATTCACAGACACAGTATTGTGTGTTGTATATTTGCTGACACAGTCATTTTTTTAAGTTAACTTGTTGATAAAGGCAGGAAAGATACCAGAGAGAAAACACTCTTGCCCCTTTCTCTGGTAATCACATCATAACATATGAGAACGTTACTCCTAAAATAAGGACCGAAGGAGAAAGCCCAAATTAATCACGATACTATTTCAGTTTAAATTCACTGCTTAACCCTGCGGTGGAAAAAGAAGGTTACTGCAGACACCAGTACTTAAAAAAAACCTGAAGAACTGAATCTGAAAACAAACAAAAAAACCTGCCAATAACAAAAAGTAGCTTGTAGAGAAATGCCTTTCTAAATTGGCATGATGTATACATCTACGTGGAATTAGGAGTGTAACTGCGCCTTACTTAAGAAGCGTACCGCAGCAAAGCGGAACTTTTGGCAAATGTCAAGGCTAGGGCTATCTAGAAATATGGGAGGTTTGAAGATAGTCAGTGTCCAGGGGAAGAGCTGAGCCCGGAAGGTTATTTACCCTTTGGAAAACTTCACTGATGCTAATGCAGTTGCATCAGTGATGGATTTGGCCCCCTTTCCCTCAGTACTTAAACAGGAGCATGTGGGTGGATAATGAACATTGGAAGAGACACGCAGGTTCTTGATTCTGCAATTCAAAGACTTTTCATACAGAGTATGTGACACACATTCCTTGTGCATAGCACAGAATGAAATTCTGCTTAAGTAAAAGGTTACTCAGTCTGTCATTATATTCAAAATAACCCAGGCTTTGAGCCTGATTCATGAAGCAAATGACAAATTGTTTTTCAATGGCAGTGCTGAAAATATCCTAGTATTATGCTGTAATAGACCCACCAAATTGCAAAAGGATGCAGCCATTTTAGGTAAAAATAGCATAATTTCTGATCGTGAAATGAGAGACATAAAGATTAATTATCTGTTCTGAGCCATTCATAAATGATTAGTGCAGCAATTATGGGCTTCCATAATAGAGCCCTCCTAGAGCAGTGCCATATTTCCTGCATTGCCAGGGAGACTGCTCAGATTTATTGTTATTGATAAAAGTAAATTCAAAGTCCAGATAAAAATCTGATAAAGGGATAATTGCAGAGACAAGAAGAGGTACAAAGATTTCCAAGGGTTAATCGAGGAGCAGTATGAGCAGGTAGCATTCCCTCCCTGTCCTGCCCCATAGCAGTCATGAGTCTTGGGTGGGTGAACTTCTGCAGACCAGTCATCTGACGGCAAGTGTAATGCCACCTTATACCTTATTCCCGTAGTAAAGATCGGATGTTGGTGTGATTGGGATTTCTGTTGTCAGTTGATGATATGTTGGCATTATAGATTTTAATTGCACGTTTTTAGCCTACTATAATAATAGCTATCAGAAAACAATACAGTATCTGCTTTGGTTTTGAACAGTGTTTTGAAAAATCCATATTTTACCATTCAATGTAAATTTTAGGCTAGTTTCCACACAAATATATCAAATATGTAGAAGCTCTTCAGCCACAGCTAGCCCAGTTTGAGCCTTCCATACTTTTATATTCCTAGATAATAGTTTTGTTGACGTGAAAATGACTTTTTCTGCTTTGTTGGATGTTTTCTGTGTACGCATGAGAGTTCTTCTCAAACACTGCATTTGCTCACTGACCAAAAAATAGCATTCAGAATACCAAATTATACAGCGGGATTGTTTTTGGCATATACCAGTTTGCATTTCAAGCAGTTTCTCTGAAAGGCTACATGCATTTTCCGCACTTATCAGGGAATGGGCACGTAAGCTGAAAAGAAGACAAAGAGATTCCAGTAATACACGTGGTCTCTAAACTTTACCAATATTGACTAGTTAATACCCATTGTTTACATACTGAAAAGATTCGTGCTTAGTTTATAAACCTCTCGGAGTAAGAACCTTAAGAGCTCTGTATTAATAATACCAAAAATAAGGATTAAAAAAAAGACAGCTTTTGCTTAATTATATTTTGTCTGCTATCTAAACCCCTGCATTGCTGACATATTTAGTTGCCTACATAAAAGTTAGGCTGGAGTGTCTGTGGCTGAGTTATACATGAACACTGAAGATGAGGTTGAGGTGTTGAGCCAGACATGCTGAATTTCACGATGGAAACTGCTGAGCTGCAATAAGTTGTGAAAGGTACAAATTCATGTAATGTGAGTTATCAAACAATACATTAGCAAACATGTCTTCACCATAATAGGTTCCACTTTGACATCCTTTTAAGAGGAGGTTGGGGTTGGTTTTTTTTTTTTTGGTTTGGGGGGTTGGTTTGCTTTAAGTTCGATGACTGGTTCACACATGGATTCTCCAGTTGATGTTGGGTTTTGTTTAAACTGCAGCACTGTATAGGGTCTTCATAGCTTAAAAGACTTGCTCACGTGGAACTGATTGAAGAAATGCTACTGATACAAACACAGTGCTGCGCTTCTCTTCTCATGGTGTGGGTACTGTAATCAGCTGAAGAAGATCACAAACTCTAAGCAGAGGATAAAATAGAGAGCTGTAACTGCAGCACTGACACTTACCTGGGTCAGAATGACGGTTCTGCTTTCATAATGTCATCTGGATAATTGTCAATGTGAACAGATTTTTCTTGCTGTAAAGACTTAGAGATGATTCACTGTAAGTCTCAGATTTCAGAGTGAAGGCACCTGAATGAGTTGTAAGTGTTAGAGCTTCTAGAACTGAGGTTGCATTGGAGATATTGTTTGTTTAGCAAGTCATTCAAACAGGAAGAGGCAATTTGCAGTTGTCTTAACGTATCTCATTTTTATTTGGCCAGTCACTTCCTCAGCCCTCCTGCAAAGAAAGAACATGTGTGCTAAATACAATAACTGGTCCACTTAATTTTTTCTTTTTTTCTTCTTCCCCCCATCTGATCTTTCCTTAGGTAAAAGTGATCCTTTCTGTGTATTAGAGCTGGGAAATGACAGTCTTCAAACGCACACTGTTTACAAGAACCTCAATCCAGAGTGGAACAAAGTTTTCACATTGTAAGTGGATTGCTTTTGAAAACATGCTGCAACACCAAAGAGTTAGCAGCATAACTATAAAAGCTATCGACCTAGGGAAAATATAAATGTCAAGTTTAAGATATGTCATTTCTTCATAGTCAGAGAGGATGTTGGAGAAATATCAAATATAACTCAATTAAAGCCTTTTGCCTTTTACTAGTTCTTGTATGGAGTTTATTAATAGAAGTCACTAAAAGAAAAATTACTGTGATATTTATAGGAAGAATCATGACTAGACATAATGGAGTCATATCTGGATCCAAGAGATAATGTAACAGAAAGTAGAGACCAGATACTTACGCCTACATTTTCCGTAATTTAAAATAAAATATGTTTCATTGAACCATGGTAGAACCCTTGTTTAATTTGTATGTAAGGAGAAAATTAGCGCTCATATTGTTCCTGGTATATCTTCTGAATTTAAACTAGTCAAACGTAGCTTACTCCAAATTGGAAGCTTAAATGTTTATGAAAATCCAAGTATTCTTTTCTTTTGTGGCTTTATTAATAACAGAAGTGATAATTTAGGTACTGCTTTTAGGCAGTACGATTTTTTTAACCTTGCTTTATGCTGACAGAGATTTTAATGAATAACTGAGTGAAATAAATGTGTCCAAGACTGTAGTAGTCTGCGGCAAGGAAGGCAACTGCGAGGGCTGGCAATGGAGCATTTATGATGTTTGTACCTGTCCACTGGAAGAACAGCTTGAGAATGATGGACTTCTTGCAAAAGCAACACTCATAAATACTGGGCTGGATGTCAACACAGTAAAAAGTATCTGATCTCTTTGATAGAAGTACCTTGCCGGATTTCCGTTTAATTCATGGCTGCAGCTGACCGCATGCCTCTTGGAGGGAGTCCTTTCACTTACTTTGTCTGTTCTCCAGAAGCTTCTACTCATCACTGTTTATTCTGAGACTGTGCCAGTAGATGAGTCTTGTTGGATGTTCAGCCAGCAAAATAGATCTAATACGAATCCAAAATTATTTCATTTAAAAAGAAAGTTGGTGTCTGTACTTCCTGTGGGTCTCAGAAATGTCAGCTGTGGACCATCGCTAACTTTCTTACTGCTGTCGCATGGCTATTCCAAGCACCAAATCTGTGGAGCCAGTCAGGCTCTCGCATCTCTCCTCAGATTTTTGTCCATTTCTAAAAATTTCAGTTAAGCGCCTTAAAAGCTATTCATGATTTAGATTTATTTTGGAGCAGAGTGGATTGTTTTGAGTGGATGAATCCATTTCAGCTGGAGCGTTCAGCATCACCAGAGTGCCTTTCCCATCATATTCAGATTTTCTGCAAGACAGTTATCTGTGTGTCACTGTGGGGTTTTAATATTTTATACTACTGGTAGTTATTTCATATGGAAAGTGATAATGGCTTGGAGAGGAATATGGAAGTATGGTTGCAGAAGTGGCAGGATTCAGTATATTTTAAAGCCACAATATCTTGAAAACAGCACGTTTGCCTGCCACTAGTGCCTGCATCGCATCACAGAACATGCTACACCTCCTAGCTGGAGAGACAACTTTTTAGGTTGTCTTTTAGGTTTGGACTCTGCGAGGAGCAACTCCACCGCGTCACAGGCAGAGGTCCCAGGAGCAGGACTGCTCTGAAATAACCTTCTTTTGGGCAGAACGGCTGCACTCAGTTAAATAACAAACGCATTCTGTGTTACATATCTCTTTCTTTAGCATGTGGAAGAAGAAAAAGAGGAGGCAATGAATGCAACTCGTAAGTCGTCTCCAGTTACCCATGCTGTTGCAGGCACATAGATATAACTGTTCTCAAATGAGACTCTGATTTATTAATGATCTGATACTTAGGATCAAGTGCCCGCTGCCACATCAGGAGAGTATTTGCACTGAATGGAACAAAAATATTGTATATTTGGCCTTTAGTTAGGGTTGATAGGTTGGGGGGTTTTTAAGTAATTGGTTTTGTTAGTACCTTAAAAGGGAGATAATTGTTCAATAATTGTTCAAGTCAAATGAAGTTTCATAAGTTTTGCGTCCTGGATTATTTCTTTAATGTCCTGAAGCCTGGTTTTGAATTCAGCCCTTGACGAGAAAGCCACCAGCTTTCTCTGTTGGAGAGCTGAGTTCTACGCTGTTAGCATCAACATCGATGCACAAAAAATGTCACTGTCTGGTAGTTATTTTCTTCACCTAGCTATGGGACTGAAACATGAGGTGAAAGCTTGGGGAATACCCATCACTTGATTCAATTTTTGGGGAGAAATTTAACTAAATGCTAGTTTTATGCTCCAAGGTAATACAAACTTAATTAGTAAACAGTATTCTCAGATCTTTGTGGAGGAGACTGTGTGCATGTGTATCGAATATTATTTTTTTTTGTGTGTCTGTATTTCTCATTCCAGCCCTATTAAAGATATTCATGATGTTCTGGAGGTGACAGTGTTTGATGAAGATGGAGATAAACCCCCTGATTTTCTTGGAAAAGTTGCCATCCCTTTGCTGTCTGTAAGTTAACTTTGCCACGTATATCATTCAAACATTGATAGTTTTGCTGGGAACAAGTTGCATTTCTTTTCCCTGTAGCACAAAGCAACACAGATTTAGAGATAAACAGGTTTTGTGATCTATATGTGCCTTAGTTGGCAGTGTTTATAGTTCTCCTTAGTGTAACGAGCATTGCCAACCCATTTTAGTATAAATTTGGTTGATTGGAAAGAAAATTGCAGAAATGTCTGTACTTCATCAGTACTATATGCCATGTAGGTCTGAAAACATAATTGAGTTGTTCTGTATGTTTCCACATCATCTTCTGAAGGTAACATTTTAAGCATGTCTTTGTTCTGTCTTGCTTCTTTTTACTCCAAGAAAGTAATTGCACATCACAGTAGGATTGACTAGAGATAGCTGTTGTTATTGGCACAGCTGAATAAAATTACCTAAAAGGGGTGTTTTCTACTCCGTAGTGCTTTTAAAGACTGGTGGCTTTTGTTCTGTAAACAAATATGTGAAGAGTGAGCGCTACCATGGGAGTATAAAATCAAAACTGGAAACAAAGCGAGCTCAGGGGAAAGCGGTTGCTCTGGAGATTAAGGAGAGTTGAAGCTTTTTCAGAAATGGCCAAAAAAGGCCAAGCTAAAGAGAGCGGAACATAAAGGGGTCATTAAAAGACATTAATAGAGAAATGAGGGAAAAGCAGCTTTGTGTTTGGTAAGACTGATTTAATTTTGGAACAAGGCTGGTGGTAATAGAGTGAATAAATCAGATGAAGAGGATGTAAACAGCTCCATGTGTATGTGCAGTATCACAGAAGACTCTAGTAACTTTTGAGAAGAACTTTCTAAGCTGTGGCTTTTATTAAATCAATTGGTAGATGAGTCTTGAAACATCACAGGACTCTTGTACTCATATCAGTCAAGTCATGTCAACACATTTAACTGTAAGTATGGGGGTTTCCTTGAGTTTTGAGGCACTGATGTTTTGCAGTAGGTTCCCTATGCAGAGGAGAGGGTGTTACAGGTATTTATGCAGTGAGTGCTGTGTTGAGCCCTGTACAAACATTCATGCTTGCGATCTATAATGCGATTCAAGTGATACATGCAGTAGTGAGATGCTTTCGGTAATGCACAGTGTGATGCTGTGGGTAATAGCACTCTGGAATAGGCAGACGGTGAATCTTGATTGAAATTATAGAGTGCAAAATTGTGGTATTGTTTTGAAACCTCTCTGTGAAAGCATATTCACCTCTGTGGAAAGGCTGGCACACATCTCTCACGGCAAGAGTTTGGCTTTTGAGTTTTAGAGGTGGGCTGTTGCAGAAAAGGCAGTATTGCAATAACGGGTTAGTGGGGCTCTGTCCTAGCAGAGACTGGGGAAATGGGAGGTTTCTGGAGGGGAAAGCAAAGGTCCCATCTGATCAAAGTGGCCATATAAGCCCCACAGAGACAGCATAGTTTAGGTAAGGGACCAGTCAAGATCAGAGACGGGAACTGCAAATATTTGATGTTTCCAAATAAATAATGAACTGCTCAGAAAACTCTTGAACCGGTTTAGAGGGTAAGATTCCCACCTAAGGAATGCTTTATAGTGGTAAAGAAATAGGCTAGTGTGCTCCAGTTTGTTATTATTTTGTCTAAATAAGTGTATTTCTTGTGCTTGCAAACTAAAAGCAATATGGCTTCTGAATCTCTTCATGAAAGGGTGTTTGTTTTCATCCACTGTGTGCTCTTTCCAAGTTAGACTGGAGTCCAGAACAGGAGAACCCCTGCAGTTTGGGGATAAGGAGAGCCTAAGCCATAGAAGCTGAGGAGTAAATACTGAGCACGCTGTCATGTGCTTTGCAGTCCTCTTCTCCCACGGCTCGGACAGCAAGTTCTTTTTGAGGCCGAGGATATTTTAGATTGCTTGTCTATTTTAGTGGCTTGAGTTGTCAATATCTCCAGTTTTAGAACACTATTAGTCAGTTGGGCACGGAGGATGATTTGATGTTTACAGGGAGGAAAAAAACCTCGTAACATCTTTTATTCCATTTTTGATCACTTTGTTAATTTTCCCCCAAGTCCTCGTATCTCTGATGTTACTGGAAGAGAGTGGCTGGAGCAGCTGCTCTCCTGCAGATCCAGTGCTTGCCAAATGGTCTGCATGATCGGCAGCAGGCTGTGTGGGCTCACAGTGAGAAGATGTTAGATTTGGATTTTCTGTTGATTTTATAGGCATTTGTCAAGTATCCCTTAGGAAGCATGTAACAAGGCAGAGGAGGGGAGTGCATGTGTGTGGTAATGTCCAAACTATTCAGCGTAGGTTTTTTGTCCAAGGTTTGAGAGAAAAAAGAAAAAAAAAAAAAATTGTTTATGCTTTCGCTTGCCAACTGATCTTCTTCCTTTCTGTCCAAACTTCTCTGCCTCCTATTTCAGTCAAATCTAGTGTAAATATATTCGTCTCTGCTTCTGATTAAAAAACATTTTGCACCTATTAAGTTAGTCTACTCAGACAGAGAACTGCAATTTTCTAAGCTCTTTTTCTTGAAATGGGAATTTTGATGTATGTTGTCATTTTCACTATAAATTTGAATGTGTCCTTGGAACTATTTAGATAAATATGCTGGAAGAGAACAGTAGTTAAGACCCAAGGCAACCTCACAAATCATATAGGTTTAATTTTTCTAGGTAATCAGGCCTAATATTTGCCTTGCATTAAATTCCCTTATGAAAACAGAAGTGGATTTGCCTTTTTTTTTTTTCCTGTTAAAAATGCACAAATTTGACTTGTGAGCTGTCAGCACATGAAGTAAGTTTACTTCAGGAATTGTTCATGGTTGACTAGGTTCTTTTCTTAATGAAAAATTGCCTTGAATAAAGTATATGTTGGAGGGATATGAAATGTTTAATTAATTTGACAACGAATTTTGGGTTAATTGTGCTCAGGAGTCTTAAACTGGCATTTTGCAAACATGCATACACCTTCATTATCACATTAACACACAAATAACCTTACTGCACAAAAATTCAGAGATAGTGAAATAACTTATGCTTTCCATTATCCTTGACCGTGAGCTGGGCTTATTGCAAGCACCGAATAAGAAACATAAAAAATTGTGCCGCGTGAGAAGAGTTTCAAAGTGTCAGATGATGAATAAAGCTGAAAACTTCATGTTCTTTTGATAGGCATGATGAAGCAATATTGGATGGATAGACAATTTGCTTTGTTTCTCACACAGCTCTATTAATAATGCACTGTAGAGACATTGATTTTGATAGCATTGCACTGGATTTGGAATTTTCGCTATTTGCAGGTAGGTGGGGGACAGAGGGGAAGAAGTGGTCATTTGTTTGCATTTTATCTTTAGCTTTTCCTTCTTAATCAACCTATTGCATTTTCTTTCTCCTGCCCTTCTTTACGTCAAACTACTGTCCTCCCCTAAAGCACGTATAAGAGACCTCATCTCAAATAGAGCCCTGTTCAGCCACATTCACAGAAGCAGAATTTAAACTGGAAAAGACACAGATTAGTGCTACCAAGCTATTCAGCAAAATGGATCCCTGTCTTGCCAGAGGTGACCTGTAGAGTCTGGCTTGCCTAACCTTTGGGCTCAGAGAGAGATTGCTTTCTCAGAGCCTGGGGAATGAAAGAGAAGACCATTTACACCACTGAACAGAGCAGGCTTTTGTGCTAGAAACTGAAGATGATCCTGGGGAACGGAGAAGTAGGGCAAAAACTTCATTGCTTCGAGAAAGGAGTTTGATAGGTTTAGAAGTTTTGTAGGTTTTGGGGGACTTGAACTAATTATCAAAGAAGTCCTTTCCATCTCTGTGTTCCTTTGTGCCCTAGATCTTAGTAAAAGCACCCATGTTTCTCTTTGTGAGGGTCTGTCTTTTTTGTTTTGCTTCAAGAGACTCCTGTCTCCTAGAAGGCTGCAAGTTATTAGAGACATGGGAGCATATAGTGTGCTTCAATGAATTTGAAAGCAGAGTATATCAAATATCCTTGTGTAGAAAGACCTTTGAGTGAAGAGTTGTATCGCAGGATGAAATATTTTTTATCTGCTGAATTATCAGCTTAGAGTAGTCTTCAGCTGCACCCTTTTTTCAGCAAACAGGAAGAGGTCTATGAAATATTTTCAAGTGCCAAGCAAGGTCGGTAGCCAATGATACAGTGGAAACAAGTAGTATGACTTCAGCAAGCTTAATTATCTAAAACATGGCCTGGATTCAGAGAGCAGACACCTGACGATTGCAATTACTTAGCACTTGACCATAAATGCACAGCCTTTTCCAGGAGAAAGCTTTAGAGTTTGAAAAAATTGAAAATGCTGCATTTGTGCGATAAAGGCAGCTGTGAAGTGGCTAGTCTATTCTAACTTTTATCCTTATCATGAACCAGAAATTTTGGAATGGGGGGAAAAAAAACACATCTCTTCCAGAAAAAATGCCACCTTGTTTCTGACATTAAATTCTCCCTTGACCTTGACCATGCACTACTCACTGAAATGGTATCGACAGGAATGCTTTTCTTGAGTGCCACCTAGGATCCTTGTGCTCCCAGGGATTTCATCTCCTCCTCAGACTGCCTGGAAGCCCTCGTGTGGCTGCCTGCTTTCTTTCAGACTGTCAGCTCCATATCTATTTGGTCTTTGGATATCAATCCTCTGCCAAGAGCCCAAATTTCTGTTCTACTTTTTGATCCCACAGAAGGTTTTTAAAAACGAAATATTTGGGGCAAAGAGTTTTGGGATGAATGAATGGGCATTTCGTACAGAATCAAATCAAGGTATATTGCAAGACCGGGGAGAAACAAAAAACTTTTTATTCATGTCCAGGTGGATCAAATATGTGGCTTGCTTTCATCTTTTCTTGGGGAAATATGTCCTTTGATAAGGGTAGGTGTGTGTCTATTACAAGACAGCTTTATGTTATTCAGGGCAAATGGTATGACATTGTGCATCAGCAATGAGCTCAAGCAGGAATATCAGAGGTCCCAAATGCTTTAGATGAATTACCCTTGGAGAGTAGCCATTACCCTTTCCACACGTCACGGGTGTTGATGTACAGAGGTTTAACCCAGCGTTCTTCTGTCAGGTCATCAATATATGACATTGAATCTGCATCAAAGCTGGATACAGAGTGAAGTTTTCTTAAAATCAATGTAAAAAAAAAAAGCCACTAAACCATATTTCTTTGAGACAAGAGCAATGAAAAAACACCCTTTGCTGCGTAAGGGTCCTGTCTTCTCCGTGTTTTGTGTCATATCAATCTCGGCTTTCGCTATTTCATTAAAATTCCCAAGCGGTCAGAAGGTTGTTGCTTAATAGATTTAGCATTGGCTGGCTACATCAATACTGTGTTTAGTCACATTTGTTTTACTGGGGACATCAGTGGGAAGACTTTAGTAAATATATTCATTCATTTGAAAGGAACCCAGTGCACTTTGGGCCTTGACTGTAAGGTGGTCTCGCGTACCTGAACGTTTCCTTCAGCTAAAGCACTGCCAGAAGTTGCCTCTGTAGGTCAAAATGCTAAACGCACAAAGAATTTTAGCTTTTCTTCTGATAATTTCCTTTGCGTGGTCCTGTATGGAGAAGGGACTGTGATACAGAATATATGAATTGCTCTGTGAAAATACTGATACTGATATTTTGTCTTTTTGTGTTGATTCAGAACAGGGAAATGCCCCAAATATCAGCATTTCTCATAGGATGAAAATCCTGACACTTTTTCAGAGGTTTTTTGATGGTGACCTTGCAAAATGAAGCATGTCAGTGGGGTAGGCGCTGCTGTCCTCATGTTAATCACACGGTTATGAGCCGTCTTGGTTGGTGATTGAGCTCCGGTATGTCGTATGCTATTAAAAAGCTTTCAGAGAAGGCAGGCATTAGTATTCAGTGAGGATACAAAACATTGTCAATAAAGGAATAATATTGATTATGTCTCTTTAAGGACCTCACCTGCAGGTATTTTCACATTTAATTTGAATACTCCTTTCCTTCCCTTTTCCCATAAGTAGATGTAAACATTCATAGCAAAGATAACACAGCTATCAGGAATATTCACTGAGTGAAATCCATGTGAGATCAGGTATGTAGCAAAAGGTGTTTGGGTGGTAGAAGAAATCTCATCTTTCTGACATTTAGGTTCAGCCTAGGACCCCCGGCCCTGGCTGCTCACCTTTTCCACAGCTGGAGAAAGCATTTCAGCAGCCTTTGCAAACAGCAGAGACTAGGGAAAAGTACCCAGAGAGGAGAAAGAAATAGATCCAAAATGAAATTAATATGACTGGCTGTCTCTCGAGATTGAGGGAGACATTGAACAGAATCTGAACTCTGGCCCAAGAACAGCATGCCATGAAAACGTAGAGTATTTAAACCTATCGTGGATGTTTTCTTCTGGGCACAGTTGAGACATGCCACTGATCTAATCTCCATGCAGTCATGGGTGTTAGAATTACCCTACACCTTTTATTGAACCACACTGGCTTAACACGTTGCCAAAACTCTCAGAGATCTTTCTTTGACTTTTTTGCAGGGTTTTTTCTTTTTATCCAAATGAAAATGCAGTGGAGAAATGCCATTTCATAGCCAGCTGTTCTTCTCTCTTGTGCTTTTTTCCCCTCCGAAGAAGGTCAAAAGCTAGGATATCTGTATGAATGTTTAGTCTTAGGCTGAATTATAATTGCACATCTTTTACCAGACAAGTCAAACACTTAGAATTAAAGATGCCAAATGAAGCTGGCTGTAAAACTGTGTTTGCACTGCATTACTTTTTGCCCCGTTCAATTTTGAAATAGCAGCAACAATAATGACACCATTTGAAAAAGTTTCCTAAGCGGCAAACAACCCCTGTTTCCAAAGACAGAGCTGGAAGTTATTTGTTGCTGATTTGAAACTTACTGTGTGAACACACCTGCAGACACACCCAAGATGTTTGATTCAGCTCCAGCTCTTAAAATGAAGTCTTTTCCCCAAAGTCAGAAGCAATTTTTGAGTGCAGAATACCACGGTATCAGACTCAGACCTTCTCAGTAGTGACAGCATTTCTTTTCCTTTTTCTGTCCATTTAGCAGCATGTGACTTTTTTTTTCCTTGTTGGTTACACTCTTGAAAGATGTAAGAAAGAAGTATATCCCAAGTAATGTGAAGTGCAACTTCCCACTAATTGTTGCTCTTGGAGTAATAGGATGACACGTGAGGAGAAATATGTGTAACTGAAATACATGAAAATTTAGCCCAGAAATTAATAACTATGGAGAATCCAGAATTATGATATTGTGATCTGTATTGGACACCTACATCTCTGCAGACACACTGGGAACAACGTAGCTTCTGTCCTGTTGCGGGAGAGTCTGTGAATCAAAGCTCAGTCTAAACCTGCTGCTGGTGGCATCCCCTCGGACCAACGGGATAACAACTGCAAACCAAGTCCTTCTGGCCCTGTATCTCTACCATCAGTAAATCCATTTTTTTTTCAGTTAATTTTGGAAATTGAAGAAAATGTTTAATTTCCAAATGAATTTTGTTTTGTTTCCATTCAGTAGCTTTAAAAATTATTTTTTGCCTTTGCTTGAGGGCGGGAAAACCAATCTGTTGAAATAGCAGAATCCTTTATGATGGGCCAACAATACTGTATGTGGCACTTGGCCTGAGGACCTTCTGATGCCGGTCCATGTGGCCCTAGAAGAGGGGCTAGCCACTTCAGCAGCTCTTCTGCTTTGGGGCTGCATGTTATCCAAGCCTGCTGGTCTGCAAAATATTTTGCCCCTTTCTGGGGAGCTGCAACATCCTTGGCCACCAACTCCAACCCTATGTGTACTCTCTCTCAGTGAAAGCAGAGGCGCTTTGCGATCAGTTTAGTGCAGTGCCTATTATTGGTTTTATTTATTTTTATTAAATAAATTCCACATATGCCTGCGTAACTCCCAGCATCCTGTTAAGCAAAGCTTTGGATGAGAACATAGTAAAAGCTAGAATTCCTGGTTGGATGCTACAGAGGATGCAAAGTTGGTCCTTATGAGAGTCCTCTACCCTTTCAGCTGTTAGCCAGAAAACCCATCTACCCTTTGACGAGCTGTTCGGTGTAGAAAGGATGGAGCAGCACTGGGAAGGGAAGTGACCTTTCCCTTGTCTCCTTAACTCACTTGGTTCCTATTATGCCTTTTTTTTTTTTTTCCCCCCTTACTCGTTTCTACCATGGTTTATATGAGTGCCTCTTCTAAATGCCAGAGCAGCAATAGCCGTTTTAAATATGGTTGCAATTTCATGCCCCCAAATTTCCTCCGTTATCTTTAATCTTTGATCATTACAGTCCCTGAATGTAGCTTTTCGGTAAGCTGCAGTTTTTTATGTTACTGCTGTTTAGAATTAACTGGTCTGCTTCCTAAAAAGCCAAATGTTTAATCAATACATATCCTACTGTGTATAATAAATACATTTCTGCCATCACTTTTTGAAGAGAGAATGCTTTTGATTTGAGCCAAATAGTTTACAAAATGGTGAGGGAGGTTTTTTTTTGGTTGTTTTTTTTTTTTTTAATAGATGTTTAATGCAATAGGGCCAACCGGCAGATTAGAGCATAGAAATGGTATTGAAATTCAGAGGTGGGGTGGGGGGGAGAAGTCTTTTACATGAATTAGTTAATTTTGAACATTTGTTACATTAGCATTCACTCCACTTAAGCTGATAAATTTCTTTGGATTGCATTTGTTTTCCTGGGTAATAATTTGACAGCCTTGCAATAAACTAAGCGTTAAGAAGTGGGTTCACGTACTGGAGTGTGCAATAGGTAGGTAAGTTGTTTGTGGCTCTTTTCCTGAACTTTGGAAGAAAAATCCCATTTTAAACCTGTAATAACGGAGGCTGATTACTTCCCATCAACTCACTGGCTTCCAGGGCAGAATTTTCAGACTGGTTATTGCGTGCGCTGCTCTACTATAAAGTACAAGGTCTGTAAATTAAAGTTGGACCATAAGAGATTTAATCTGCAATTTTATAGGTCTCTAATCCAACGGTCATTTTGTATTTCAGGTTCCAAGTGTATTATCAGGGTTTGGGGAGGGGTTTTTTTGTGCTTGCGATTTATTTATCTATTTGTTTGTAGTGTCCTTAAATTATATTGTGAATTACAGCCAGGAAAATATTGATGCTTTTTCTCTCTCCCCCCCCAACCTATAGATTAGAAACGGTAAACAAAGTTGTTACACACTGAAGAATAAAGACTTGGAACGTGCTTCAAAAGGAGTAATTTACTTGGAGCTGGATGTCCTATTTAATCCTGTAAGTTGAAATATTTTCTCTTTGCTTATCGCTGATGTAAGAAAAGTATGAATCTGCAAGGACGAGGGTGGGGGGCGATGCTTTAAAAACTAGGAGCCAAGGAGGAAAAGTCCCAACCTGATTGCATCTGGTGGTGGAGGGGTGTTTCGTGCCTTGGGTGAAGAAGTATTGGGACACCAGAGCTCTGGGGTGGCCCCTCCAGGTGGATGGGACAAGGAAGGGAGATTTTTGGACTGGCAGTGACCACAGGTACCTTAGGAAGGAGGTGCCAGTTACTGTACACCACGACTTTGTTTGCAACAGCCAAAAAAGGGCTTAATGTTTAGATTGTTATACATTACTTTTAACACCTACTTCCTCCCCAAAAAGCTGACCCACGATGTTCTCTTCCCAGGGTGTTGACAGGAAAATTAATGAGGCATGGACATGGTGCACTTAGTTGTTAGGTGGCTGAGTCAGTCTCAATTGTTTATGCCCTACAGCCTTTTACCGAGTTAAATCCTATTTATTAAGGCCATCGTGGGCTGCACCGCAGCTCTGCTCTTGCTGAAGTGAGTCCAGTCTTGCCCAATTTAACTCATCCCCGTTTTTCCTAGCAGCTCCTAAGTCAAGTGGAGGCTGAAAACTGAAAGATCCAAAAATTCCTAATCGATACTGGTGATACAAAGCTGAATAATCCACTTAAAACTACATTACCTTTTTTTTTTTTTTTCTTTAAGGTAAAAGCAAGTATTAGAACATTCAAGCCCCGAGAAAAGCGCTTCAGTGAGGAGAACCGCAAATTTTCTAAAAAGGTGAAGCTAGTTTCTGGGCTAAGCTCTCGCATTTGTTTTGGAAAGATTTGAGTTGCTGTAGCACAATTGTAAGAACAAAACCTATTTATGCATGAAATGCTGAACACATGTAAATTCTGTGTGTTTCTTTATATATTAAAAGGTTTGTTTGTGTTAACACGAAATTGCTTTCTGATCTAGTTTGCATCAGTAGTTCTGCTTTGTGCTTCAGACTGGGGAAAATGATAGCTGTGGGTGTTGCACAGTTCACAGCACCTAAGCTCAACGAGAGCTTTATTCCCTTCTTTGGGAAGGAAGAAACCAGGTCTAAATTAGATATTTAAAAATTCCATAGGATTTTAAAACAATGGCCATTGTCCTTTTTTTGAATAAAGCTGTGCTATAATAAGGCTAAAATTCCCTGTTTATTTCTACGGACTCATCCAATACTAAACTAAAATCCAAAAAAATAGAGAAGAGGTTCAGTGTTTTGATTAAATTCTCACTGGCCCTTTCCCTGAGATATTGCTACATTTTGAGAATTGAAGGGGAATGAAGGTAGGTTTGTGTTACTGTTTTATTTAGTTTTGGCATCAAGATGTGCTTTTTTTTCCTTTTTCTTTTTTTCTAAGGGATGAGGAAAATCTGGAAAGTTTGGGTGTCATCAGAAAGCGGACGGGAGCTGGAGCGTGTCTTAGAAATAGAGGCTTTATTTGTAATATGTGCCCTGACATGCATTTGTAGCTTAAATTATCCTTGTTTCTGAAGCAATAGTAGGATATTAGAGTGTTTGATTAAACTCCTCTTCTCCTCCCCTCCTCCCACTCAATATTTATCAGATCTTATCAAGAAATGTTGTTCGCGTGAAAAAAATCACCATGGCAATATGGAATACAATACAATTCCTTCGGAGCTGCTTTCTCTGGGAGTCCACGGTAAAGAGCGTGATAGCGTTTGTGGTAAGTGGATTTCTTCTTTTATTGCATGAGGCTAAGTGATATAAAATCTCGAGTGTTACCGTTCGTTCCTCTCCACCAGCGTAAAGCCCTTTATCGTTTGCTGTTATTGGTATTTTGTAGCTACATGGCTGCAGGGCTGCGGGTTTCAAGGCAGCTTGGGCCACGTTGGGCCTCATAGGCATGGAAACTAAACCTCTAGGAATAGCCTTTCTTCACTCAGTGCAGAGGTGTTCACCAACCTGCACCAAGCACTGAGGATGCCCATGTCCATGGTAGCTGATGCCACCCTGTAAAGGCTGTGACTGTGTGATGGCCATAGATTTTTTTATATTATTATTTTAAAAAGCATGGCAACTGGGTGGTAGGAAAGGAGTGAGGTGGTGGCCAAGAGGGTGATGCAGGGAGATGCCTTTGATTTGGGTGATGCAGTGAGCTGACGGGTCTTGCCCCTTCAATCTTCCATTGCAGTGAGTTGGTACTTCACTGCAGGTTATCAATGCCTGCTATGCCCGTGTCCCTGTGACACATAAGCAGCTCTGCTGACATTGCCTGTTGCAAATCTATTCTCTTGATGGTAATAATATGTTGCTTTAAAAAAAAAAAAAAAAAAAAGCTGGTCAGTGAGTTCTGCTGTGCTCTGCAAACAAAAAGCCAAGTCCTCCACCTGCCTGTCCCACTTTTCAGCTCTCTCCTTTTTCCTCGCGGTAGTAAACACCCCATTTGCAGTTTTCTCATAATCCATTCAAGCACAAAAAGGTTTTGCCTGCTTTTTATTCTGCGGTGTGACATTTTCTTCATGCTTGAAATGTTTGGCATGCCATTAAAGGTTGCAAAATCGTTTTGTGGTGGTCCAGCATGCAGAAAGAAAGTTTTTGAGTTGAGTGTTTATTAAGCAAAATAACAGTCACATCTCCAAGATTTCTCCCCCTTTTACTGTCTGTGAATTATAAGTCTCTTCAAGGTTCTTTTGAGGGAAACACTTCATAGCGTATTTGCTACAGATGAGTAAAGTGGACCATCCCTGACTGAAAGGAGCACAGAGCAGAGACAGAGGAGCTGTCGTTCACCCTGCAGGTTAGAGGGATGACGGGGCACGTAAGAGTAGGTAGGATGAGAGGGTCTTCTCTCTGTATTTTTTTTTTTTCTTCTTGTTATTCGAAGCTTATTTAGTTCATATATAAAGTTAATGATTCAAGAGCTGGTGGAGGGCAGAGCAGCTGGTACCTCGCTGAAGCAGGTATGGGTGTGTAAGGGAGCTCTACGGTTATGCACAAGGGAATCAGATGTTCATGCACACTGGGGCTGGAAAGGGAGGGACAGCAAGACTCTAAGCATGGATGTGCTTGCTCTTAAGAGATTTTGCACCAAAATAGTTGTGAAGTTACAGCTGCGAAGCTCAGTTTTCTAGACTTCGGAGAAGTTTGGAAGTGGTGAAAAATAAGAAAGTGGGAAAGTGGGTCTACAGGAAAAGGAATTGATTCCTAGTGAAAAGGAGGATGAGCAGGTTACAAGTTCGAGACTATTTAACATCTTTACTGGATGCCAGTAATATTCCTGGTTTCCTGAAAGAAAGTGGGTAATGGGAAAGGAATAAACATTCACGACTCTAAGAATAATTACCACAGGTGTCTTCTACAAACCAAAATTTAAGTCTTGTCTGATTTTTTCCACGTGCAAATAATTCAGCTCTGGCACTTAATATGAAGTGCTAATTACGTGTGTATCTCACTGTTTCCAGCACGTGTATTCATAGTATTGAAAATACGCACACAGCGTGGTAGGTGCAGCATCCCTCCCTACCCCAATCTGTATGTGAAATCCACTCCACTATAATCCAACAGGTTAAATAAAAGGTGTACCAAATACTGCATTTTTAAAGTCGTCATTCCCCAGCAAGCAACATCTAGATACCTTCAAGTACCTGGCTTTGTATCAATTTAGCCTGTACCAAATTTGTCCTTGTTGACGACCCACTCATGGCTGACCCTGAACACCAGAGGCGAGGAAGATGTACAAAGCTTCTCACCCGTTTCACAGCTGGGTTCGTGAAACCACAGCTGGTAGCTTAAGTGCCAGCCAGGCCCTCAAGCCATTAAAATGCCTTGTTTTTTCTTACAGGCATTGTCCCTGGGGCCACTGGCAAAAATTGTTGTGACCATATTCTACATATTCCACATCACCTTCACTGTGATAATCCCAGAGACTGGGTGGTCCTTAGGACTCCCCTCCCCTCTATATTGCCCTTGCCTACAGGTAGCCCATGCCCATTCCTCCAAGGGGGAATAAAGGGAGGGAGGAGGAGGAAGAGAAGCAGACAGTATAATCACGTGGACCTTGTTTTCTTAAGCAATCAGACAAAAACCACCGCCAGACAGAAGAAAATATTTGCAAGATCATCAGAGCATGGCAATAAGTGAGGATGCAGTATCTTACACCTTCCTGTTTTAGTCTTCATTACAGTGGCACCTCCCTCCCCATTAGTGCTGACAGCTCCCATGAGTGACAAGGACGTTAGCTACTACTTCTGGGTGCATAAGAGGAAAAGAGGGACAGATAAAGAGGGAGGCAACCGAGGGGACAGCACAGGCAGGACAAGAGTGAATGAGAAAAATGCTATCACCGTGTTTGCTCATTTATGAGATACATCATCCCATGCTAAATTTCTTTATTAGTTTGTAATGGTGAGAGGAGATGATCCAAGAACATGTCAGTGGATTGATTTTTTTTTTTTTGCACTATAAAAATGAAATAATATTTTTCATCAGCATTCTGCAATTTTAATCTGATGACTTTTAACCTGACTTAATTGTATAGGCACAGAGACCACTGATCAGGCCTGCTTAGGCACAAGTAAAATCCAAAATTTTCCAAGTTTAGAAGCTTTGGAAAGAGAGAAAGAGACGTGAGGTGAAAAGCAAAATTTCACTTTTGGTGAGATTTGCCCTGTGCACAAAGGGTTTGGTGCAAATTGTGTTACACAAATTCTAGAGAAAAACATCCTGGGTCGGAGGAAAGAGTCACACATAGGTTTTCTGATTTCTTTACAGTCTACATTTCATCATTGGTCTGGTGTGAAAATGGACACACATGTCTGTGCCTGCCTGGGAATATCGGGAATATTCCCATATGTGGAAAATGTTGCCTGTAGAGTTAATAGTGTTCATGTACTGGGAGAGATCTTAAAAGACTTTGTGTGTTCTCCTCCATCAGCTCAGGATTTGGGGAGATTTGTAGACTTTTACGATCAAAAAGCTCATCAGGCATTCTACTCTGTTTATTTAATTTTGAAACAGTTATTTCCATTCAACCCGATATGATGCATTTTGACTGAAAGTTGCCCCTCAAAAAGGTCTTTACTTTGAAGATACCCAGAGATGTAATCTAGTACATCCCTGTATGGTTCTGCTTCTGTGCCTTATGCTCTCCATACTCTACCCTGGACAATTTGCTCCCAGTTTCCAGGGCAAATGTGGTGTTTCTAGCCCAGTGCCTCTCACTCCCTCATCTTGTCACACCCTTCTCCAATGAGGCATCGCTTCCACGCTGAGTTACTGGTGGTCAAAAAGCTGGAGCTGGGTGGTGAAATGTGCCTAGGGGAATGTTTGCTCACAAGGCCTGTTGTATATGTTGTATATCTGTGTGATTATAAGATGTTTGTTTTTCCCACTCGTGCAGTTGAAAACTTGTGTTCTTACCTTTGTGCTGTGCTTTTAAACTGAATTCCCAGTCCTTCCTTCCACGTGCAAACACTCTCTGCCTGCTCTGCTCCCTCTTCTCCCCTGGTCATGGAAGTTAAGTCCATAATAACTGAACCATTCTTACTGTACAATGTGTATTTTAAAAATATTTTTAAAGTTAATTTTAGTCACAGAATGATTTTCATGAGGAATTATGCATCATTGCACATTGTGCTTGTGATTTTATACATCGTAATTACACCTTCTATTGACAGTTTTCTCTGCATTAATGGTAATTATGTCATTTAATGAAATTACAGTAATTGCATTAAAAAAAACTATAATCTGGTGCAAATTAAAAGGATATATTGACTGGAATTTTTACTATCTTTTTTTTTTTTTTTTTTTAAGTTTGCATGATAGTTGCAAGAGACATTGACAGGATCAGGCAAACGATGGTAAACCGGCCACCACAGTACCTCCGATGTGACTGGCAGTGCTCGCTGCTGATTTGCTTCAGGGTCCCTGCACACTCACCCATGCCAGCATACTTCATTTTTACTGGCAGCATGTCCCACTATATCAGGTTTAGGCTTCTTGCTAATCAAGGCTGCTGCCAGGATGGGTACAGGTGGGAGCTATTTTTCAGGCTCAGTCCTAGCTGGCAGCCTGGGTCAGCCAGACAAGGAATGCAGCACGCACAGGCAGTATTTATTTATTTTGCAGTGACATTGCAGTGTGTCTGATAATTATTTTATGATGGGTTAGTACCAGGGGGAAAGGAAGGAATATATGGTGATGCAGTGTAATGTGTGGGCAATGTGGAGTTTCTGGTCAAACTGGCTGCAGTTATTTAATGGTGGGCAGCTGGGAAAATGACAGGCATGGGATCATTTTCGAGCAGTTTGGGCTTCCCAAAAAGCCAGCTGATGCAAGAGTAGGGAAGCCCTGGGATTTCTGGATGCCCAGCAGAGCTGGTGGGGGTTGTGGATGCAGCAGGAAACCCAAACTTAAGCTTTTGAGCTCCTTGCTGCAGAGGTGAGATTTTGGCACCCTTCTCCGTTAAGATCTCCAAAGCTTTTTAAATCCAGAGAGAGCTGGAGGATGCCCCACTTTTTGGCGCTGGCCTCTTGGGCTATGGGAACTGGAAGCCTGAGGAGTCACAGGGCAAGCTGGGCGAGGCTGCACATATGTGCATTACTGTGCCAGTTTGCTTCAGTCCTAATCTGGGATAGCAACAGAAAGAGAGGCTGAACGCTGCAGCCCGTGAACTTCTGAGCATCTGTGCCGAGTGTGCCATTTAACACGTGGCCACTTAAGCTT